CCCTCCCCCTCAGACCTCACCGGACCTCCAGTCACTGGTTCTCCCTGTGCTCTTGCCCCCCCAGGTTACGGGCACGCCGCCCCCGGCACCGACGCGGGCAAGGCCTTCTGCATGTTCTACGCGGTGCTGGGCATCCCGCTGACGCTGGTCATGTTCCAGAGCCTGGGCGAGCGGATGAACACCTTCGTGCGCTACCTGCTGAAGCGCATCAAGAAGTGCTGCGGGATGCGCAACACGGAGGTGTCCATGGAGAACATGGTGACTGTGGGCTTCTTCTCGTGCATGGGGACGTTGTGCATCGGCGCGGCCGCCTTCTCCCAGTGCGAGGAGTGGAGCTTCTTCCACGCCTACTACTACTGCTTCATCACGTTGACTACCATTGGGTTCGGGGACTACGTGGCCCTGCAGACCAAGGGCGCCCTGCAGAAGAAGCCGCTCTACGTGGCCTTCAGCTTTATGTACATCCTGGTGGGGCTGACGGTCATCGGGGCCTTCCTCAACCTGGTGGTCCTCAGGTTCTTGACCATGAACAGCGAGGACGAGCGGCGGGACGCGGAGGAGAGGGCGTCCCTGGCCGGGAACCGGAGCAGCATGGTCATCCACGTCCCCGACGAGCCGCTGCAGGGCCGGGCGCGCTGCAAGGCCGACGGGGACCTGCAGTCCGTGTGCTCCTGCTCCTGCTACCGGCCGCAGGGACGCGCTGGCCGCCCGGCGGGACACCAGAACTCCTTCAGCGCCCAGCTCGGCCCCCAGTACTTCCACTCCATCTCCTACAAGATCGAGGAGATCTCGCCGAGCACACTGAAAAACAGCCTCTTCCCGTCCCCCATCAGCTCCGTGTCCCCGGGGCTGCACAGCTTCACCGACGTGCACAGGCTCATGCGCCGGCGGAGGTCCATCTAGGGAGCGCAGGGGACTGCAGCAGAAAAAGTCATCTGTCACATCGCGTTCCATTGGCCCAACTCGTCTTTTCTCCCTTGTTTATTTATTATTTGTTATCAGTAGTGGTAGTATTGTCATCATCACTCCTTTCTCGCCTTCCTTCCCTCTCCGTTTCATTTCTTCCCCACCTCCCAGTAAGACGGAGCCCAAGTCCTACTCTGACACTCACATCTGAGCATGAAGCATGGATTTCTTCTTCCTTCCTCCCCTCCTCCCCTCCCAGCGACCTATGCCTTACATTTCTCCCCGGCCTGCCCCATCTCGAGGTGGCTGTCCGACGACAGGTGTGACACCAACACCAGGAGACAGAGCTGAGAGGATACCCAACCCAAAGTTGCACACCAGGCCAAGAGCCTTCAAAGCCCACCCGCGGCGGTGTCTCTGACCGAACTCCTCTCTTCCTCCCCAAGGAGTGATGGCTGTGTGTGTAGGGGTGTGTGTGTGTGTGTGTGCGCGCCATGCCACACGGAGGAAAGTATCAGGTATTCATTTCTTTTTCCCATCACACAGTTTTGTTAATAGCCCGCTTTTGGCTGCTTCCAAACAAAATAAGGAAACAAAACCCACAAGGTTTTTAATTTATCATCTTGCCAAATCAAGCATGTTCCATGAGCAGCCTTTATCCCCGATGCGTCATGCCCATATTTTTAAAATGCTAGGTTCTAAATTATAGTAACTTCTTTTTAGGGGGTGGGGTGGGCAAGAGACACAGAACATTTTAGCTTGCCAGTTCAAAACAGTTTTAAAGCATGTGCTCTGTTAAACTGGTATGCATTCGCCACCTAAGGCAAAACTAGCGGTGGAGGAATCCGAAGCCAGTAGTAATATTAATTTATTATAGACATGTTTGATTTTATCATCTCCAGTTCCAACAGTTTGCCACGCAACTGGAAGTGTCAGGGGAAAGTGGGAAATTGTTGGAACAGCAGACTGTTTTATTATTTCTCTCGTGTTTATATGACGATGGTAATGGTGACTCCTGCAGCATCTTCCTGTAGGAGTGAGAATTAGTTTGGGATGCCTGGATGCTTGGGTTATTTTCCTAATAAAAAGAGACAGGGCATCCTCGGTAAAATATATATGTATCTATATGTATTTCAAGAAAGACCGTCTCTAATTGCGTTTGGTTTGTAAATAAGGGAAAATTCATGTTGGTCTCAGGAAGACTTTAGAGGCAAGGAGCTGTGTCTTGGCCTGCTGGGAACTTGTCAATCTCAGGGGACAACTTTTCTGAGTAGTGGAGAAATGCCTCCCCGCTCTCACTAGGGGATGACCCCAAAGGGAAGGCCTGCTCATCTCCTGGGGGACAGGTAGGCTATAGATGGCACATGGAGGCCCTTTCAGTGACAGGAATGAAGGAAAGTCTGACCTCCAAACTCACATGAGGGCATGCTCATGTCCCTTGTCACCATCTCTACCATTTCTAACAGTCACCATCCTCCTGCTCCTTGTTCCTAAATGGGAAGTTCATGGCTCCTGGATGGAAATGAGCTTTCGTTGGATTACTCAAGGTGCAGCAGGAGCCCCAGTGGGATCTCCCAGAACGGAGGTTTGCTCCTGGGAAGACTAAACCTACACGGTTTCTTAAAGGAGACATCACCAAATGCCACCAGTCCCAAGCCTTTGGGCCATTGGACTGAAACACAGCACTCAAGACCCCTCTGAAAAGGCACACACTCTGTGTTCCATCCATGTTGAATGTGGCCCCTTCGTACAGGACACAGGGGACCCCAGATGCTCTAGTCCAATGTGGACAGGTCTCAACCTTCAAGGTCTGTGTCCAGTCACTCTTCTGTAAAATGATTTTATAAATTTTAGGGCTCTAAAATCTGCAGAGAGTAGAAACAGTTGTTCTTTTTCAGTTTTTTCTCTTGGGAGAGATGTGGCTGTGGAGAGTCATAGATGCAACAGTGCTGATGCCTGTTTGCAGAGTGCTCTGTGCTTTGCAGGAGGCTGCTGGGAATAAGTGTAGGGTTTCTCCTGAAAACCTGTGTCGGCCTCTCCCTCAAATGAGGGTGTGTACGATAATCTTTGATCGATAGAAGAAACTGAGGCACAAAGAGGGTGAGTGATTTGTCACAGAGCTGGTCCTCAACAGAACTGAGAATACTCTCAGTCTGGACCCCAAAGGGGTCAAGAAGCTGACTTCACCACGCCTGGCATCCTAACTCAGCCCCCAGACGAGGGACCTGCTTCTTTCTCCACAGGCCCTTGGAGTCAGTCAGAGGAACACCTCACCCTGTCATTCTGGACTTGTCCCCCAGTAAGACACCTGTATGAAATGGTCACAACGTGGTCTACTCTTGCTTGAATGCTCCCAGTGATAGGAAGCTCCTCCCTGCCCAGGGAAATTTAGAACACATCCCATATTCCAGAGTTCCACAGAGCTGACTCCCCGGTTGGATTAAGGATTGCAGGGTGAAGTCTTTCCTTGTTCCTGCGACGCCTGCTGACTTAGGTGCCCAAAGCAGCTTGGAATGTGTCTTGGTTCTGTACTCCTCCTCTTCTGGCCTTTGGGACCAGGTCGGCCTCTAAAGGACAACCCCTGAGTCTTGGGAACTTAAGCATCTCTGTTCACTCTCAGAGTGTTTGGGCACAAAGGTGAACCTTGATTTGCTTTCCTTGTGACATCTTTTTCTCAGATGGTCCATCTGTTTCTTACCGTGGTCTCTAGCCGAGGAGTTCTCTAGGCACACCAGTGAGGTGCTCTCATGGGTGCAGAGTCAGGGGTCTTCAGGGATCTTCTCTCATGGTCAAACGGGACCGGGACATCTCCAGCTAGAGCTGGCCACCTGAGGCCTGCCTGCTCAGTCAGCATTAGAATCCTCAGAAGCCAGGAGGAGGCTTAGTTTGAGTCACCTCCCTGTGCTCCCTCATTTTCAGAAGAGGGAATTGGGTCCGGACAGGGTGGACTCGTGTCTCAGGTCACGCGCCTAGAATCAGGTCTTCCCGCGTGGTTCTGTTTCCCTGACCTCGCCACTGCTGTTGCTTACACCCTCTGCGGTCCCTCGTCACTGGCTTCTGAGCATCTCAGGCCCAGAGCCTCTTCCTCGCTCCCCTACCTGCTGATTTCTTTCTTTCGGCCCAGTTACCCGTGCCTTCAGTGAGGGGTAAGAAGTCACGTCAGGTTGTGTGGATGCAGAATTCAGCTTTGGTTAGAACGAGCTGATGAGCTGCGTTTCACCAGGATCACAGACGTTGGCCTACCCCCAGTTCCCAGATGGGGATGGGGGAGCCAGAAATCCTTAGAGATTTTGGCCTCTTGATTGTTTTTCACCCAAGGTCTCAGTCCACTCACTCCAGCGAAGACAGGAGGAAGGTGGACAGTGGGACTGAGCATCCCAAACAGCTCTGGGCTCTGTGCTTTCTGGAGACTGTCCAGTTTTTATCTTCACCACACCCACCCTGGGCGGAAGGTGCTATCACACCATTCGACCGTCAGACTTTTTCACACAGTGTGAACCCACCTGTCTGGGTTTTGAGATACCTGGTCAGGCCCCGGGCTGGGAACAGATCTCCTTTCCATCTGTACCCTTCTGTCCTGGACCCTTAAGCACAGCAGGATGCCTGGTGCTCTAATTCAAATGCTCTCTCTGAAGTGTCTGTTGTGCTCCTGCTGAGCATCCTTATTGGGAGGGGGTTGCCCACCCTCCAGCACATCACAGCAGATCATTTGCAGCCCAGGATCCCCACTGGGTCCCTACTTTTTCCAGGAGAGGGAGCAAATGGACACAGACCACTGCTCAGGAGGCCCTTCTTTGCAGGTGCTCATTAAAACTCATCTTTAAAAAGAGGGAGAGGTTGGCTGCTAGTCCCGGCTCACCATTTACTCTGCATGCAGGGCCTTGATTGGGAGAACATCTGGATGGTAACTCAGAAGCCCACAGGCTGGTCCTTTTCTCTGCCTCACCCAGATTTGGAAGCCTGTGGGCCCTGGTTCCTAGTGATGGTCAGTAGCTGCTGGAAGCTTGAGAAGCTTTGAGAGGCTCTCTAGTCTGTATGCTTGGTGTTAGAAAGAGAGCTGAGAGCAAACGTAGAGGAAAGTCACCATCACTGAGGCTTATGGCCCCATCTCTTTGCCACGTCTTTTGCTTAGCAAGCCCTGGTTAGGAAGCCTGTCAAGGGCATCCACAGGGGTGTGAGGTCAGAGCCCTGGACTATGTCTATTCTAGTGCAGTGGACATCATCATCTGCAAAATGGTCAGTGGAATTGTGCTCTGAAAGGGGTGTGACTTGGGCCTGTCACATGCACGTCTGCTGCCTGGGGAGGGTGTGTGTGTCTAGAGTGGGTTTCTCCTAAAGTCATGGTTTGTGGGGCATCCTGGAGGCATCCCAGGCAAGGAACGGTTGGAACACAGGGACCTGGCCCACAGTGCTTGCTTTGTGGGCTCCTGGAGGTCGTTTCCCTCCCTGGGTCTCTGTGACTTCCTGATCCACACAGTGGGACAGTGGGACAGGTGGGACAAGTAGATGGTGGGACAGGTAGATGGTGGGACAAGTGGGACAGGATTAATGAGCATTAGCACACAGTGAATTTGACCCATGAAGAAATTTGGCTGGGATGTTCTGGTTACCAGCCTCATTTGAAGGTTGAGCCACCAAAAAAGAAACCCAAAAGTTATTTCAGTTGGCAGGGTACAGGGAGCTGGGAAGATGGAGAGGGAACCAACAGTGTCACCAGTAACAATGGTCACATCTTGAGAACCAAGGCCCCATGCATTCTGGTGCCCCAAAGTTCTGGGCATAAGTCCATTTTATGTGGTTCTTTCTTGACCACACCTTGGTAGAGGTAAACAGTAAATTGAAAAATAGAGAAAGTATCTATTATCATGATTTCTGCCCCCCCACCCCCCTCACGCTTTCTGTTTTGCAAAACCCAGGTTTACAGGAAAGCCAAAAGACTCGCAGGAGACCCCCATGAAACTTACCTGGACCCCCAGCCTCCAGCACTTGGCCCACTG